TTATTTTATTTAACATAATGACCTCCAGTTTAGTTTCATGCATGTTGCTGCAAATGACAGGATTTCATACTTTTTTATGGCTAACTAGTACGTGTGTGTGTGTGTGTGTGTGTGTGTGTGTGTGTAACATTTTCTTTATTCACTTATCCAGTGATGGACACTTAGGTTGATTCCATGTCTTGGCTATCGTGAATAGTGCTACAATAAACGTGGGGGTGCAGGTATCCTTTGATACACAGATTTATTTTCCTTTGGATAAATACCCAGTAGTGGTATCGCTGGATTGTACGTAGCTCTATTTTTAGTTTTTTGAGAGTTTTCCACTCTGCTTTCCTTGTGGCTATACTAATGTACATTTCTACCAACAGTGTAGAAGAGTTCCCTTTTCTCCACATTCTCATCAACATCTTTTTTTTTTTTTGTCTTTTCTAACTGGAGTAAGATGATACTTCATTATGGTTTTGATTTGCATTTCCCTAATGATTAGTGATGTTGAATATTTTTTCTTATACCAGTTGGCCATTTTATTGTATTTTGAGAAATCTCTATTCAGATATTCCCACTTTTTAATGGGATTATTTGCCTTTTTGTTGTTAAGTTTTAGTTCTTGGTGTATTCTGGGTATTAGTTCCTTGAAGGATGAATAGTTTGCAGATATTTTCTCCCATTCAGCCAGTGGTCTCTTCACTCTGTTGCTTATTTTCTTTGCTCTGAAAAAACTTTTTAGTTTAATGTTTTAAATAGTCCCATTTGTCTGTTTCTGTTTTTGTTGTCTATGCATTTTACCAAGGAGATAATGTCATTTTCCTGATTTTGAAGATTAAAAAAATTGAGGCATGGGCACTTTTCATAATTTATCATTCTTCTCCCCCTAAGTAACTCAAGTGGGTATCCAATCTATATGCAACTGATAAGAGTCTTTCTGTCATTTTTTTTGGTCTTGACCCTTAAGCCAAGCTATAGGGAAAAAAAATATAACTCAGATCTTCAGCTGTGTGGAAACTTTAGTTTCAGGTAGCTTAAAATCTTTGATTAAATTAGTTTCTAATCTACCATCCCCCGAAACTTAGGTTGTTTTTCTGTAACACACTATCATAAGAAACAGGGTTGACACTTAAGTCTGGTCAAAAGACAGAAATTAATAAGCAGACTAAAAACTAGGTAAGATATTTTCTTCCAGGTCTGTGACAACTAGGCAACATTGTATTTTAATAGAGTTTGTAATTTACTTTTGTTAATTTTTAAGTTGTTTAAAAAATAGTACATTTTTAACATTTAAAAATTAACAAGTATGGAAAGGTTTATACAGTAGTTGAAAAGTCTCCCTCATACTTCTGTTCTAAAAAAGTCTTGCTCCCTTCCCCATAAATAGGTAATCACTGTTGTTAGATTCTTGTGTAAAAGTTTACTTTTATATTAGAATGATTTAGGCCGGGAACAGTGGTTTCTGCCTGTAATACTAGCACTTTGGGAAGTGGAGGAGAGAGGATAGTTTGAGCATAGGAATTCTAGACCTCATAGGAATAGTTTGAGCATAGGAATTCTAGACCAGACCTCATCTCTACCAAAAAAAAAAAAGAGAACTATTTTTAGTACATTTTCTATTGATCTTAGTTTAGGTGGACTTAGGAAATGGATCTCAGAGAAATGAATGTTTATTTAATAACTATGTAATGTTTAAATGAGACTTATTGGCATTTGTTTTCGATAAGGTCACAAGATTCTTTTCTCTGAAAACACTGTCAACTTACAGAATCAACTAAGTCATGACCGAAAACTTGTAAGAAAGTTGTCAGCCGGAGAAACTGTTGTCATATACCGAAAAAATGAAAACCTTGAAATGAATGGGGATTCTTTAATGTTTGCAAGCATCCTGAATACTGAGTCACCTCCGAATGAAAGCCTCACCGATGGCAGCGAAAAAGAAGCCAGCCACTGTGAGAGTAGTGTTGATGCCGACAGTGAGGCTTCAGAATCTGAAAGTACTTCAAAGCAGACCGGGCTGCTTAGATACAGGAGTGGATCCAGTGTGCACGCAGGTGGACACCTCAGCCACCCATCAGCAGGTGAACTGCCACATACGAAGGAGACTCACAGTGGTGAGGAGGAAGTGGCTGAAGCTATTTCTGAACTTGGTTTGAACAGCACTGTACCCGGAGATAAAGATTTTGACAGAGTAAATCAGCCACTAAATGTTTTAAATAATTTATGTTTTTCAGAGGGGAAGCATTTGAGGTCTCACAGTCCTCAAAATGCTTTTCAGACCCTTTCTCAGAGTTATATAACCACTTCTAAAGAATGTTCAGTCCAGTCCTGTCTCTATCACTTTACATCTATGGAATTATTAATGGGGAATAATAAGCTCCTCTGTGAGAACTGTACTGAAAAGAAACAGAAGTACCAAAAGGAAACCAGTTTTGCAGGTAAATGTTTAATTTTTGAAACATTTTTATTTTAAAGAGGTGGAGTACAATTCAGGGTTCATTATACAAATGATCATTATGCAGGTAAAGTTTGGCTCCACTTCACCTGGTTTGAGATCAGGTAGCCTTATTGATGAAGTGTGCCCCCACTGGCAGTTTCCCACTACTGCCAATCCCTTTTTCCTTTCTTACAGTATTATGATAATTGTTTAGGGTCTGCTTATTTAATTTAAGAAATTTTTGATAGGTTACCTGATGGTCAGTGACTAGCGGGCTTCTGAGAACACTGTCTCCGTTTTTGAGCTGCTTGGGCTCAGAGATTGTCTTATTTGTTTTTGTCCCTGAGCACTTATGACACTGGGCAGAATATATTTTCAGTACATTTTTGTTAAAATAAGTCTAAGAGGAGAAAGTATACATCTCTGCCTTGAAAATGTAAATCCATATAATCTTATTTGAGGGAACTAGTTATCTGAAATCTTTCCAGAAGAAATATCTCTGAAACTTTTAATTGTATCACTAGTGAGATTAATGTACTTCAACAAATCCCATCAATCTGTTGTAAATTCAACATAAGATATAAATCTCAAAGATTTTAAATAATTGTATGCCATAAAACTAACTGTATAATGACTATGATTAGTTGATCAAAGAAAAGGGAAAAACAAGAAGGTGTCAGTACATATCTTGATTAAATGGAAATAATACTCTGATTCTTAGTAGCTGGTTTTTTTTTTGAGTTGGAGTCTCACTTGGTCGCCCAGACTGGAGTGCAGTGGCCACACTTCCGGCCACCGCAGCCTTGACCTGCTGGGCTCCGGCAATCCTTCCTCCTCAGCCTTCCGAGTAGCTGGAATTACAGGCATGCACTACCACGCCTGGCTGAATTTTTGATTTATTGTAGAGATGAGGTCTCGCTGCCCAGGCGGGTCTCGAACTCGCGGGCTCAGGCAATCCACTCACCTCAGCCTTCCAAGGACGCGGGATTACAGGCTGAGCCACTGAGCCCGGCTGCTGGTTGTTTTTAAATGTAGGTTTTATTCCTCAGGTATGGTGAATCTAACACATCAAGAATGACTGCCACTAAAACAGTTATTCATAGTACCATGCTACACAGGGCCAAATAGGGAAGCCCCGGGGTTGGTACAGGAGAGGGGGTAGTGAGGGGGAAACATGGGCATGAATCTTTCTTGTGGTTTCTAAGGGAAGGAGTGGATAAGACAGGGTAAGCAGGTTTAGGATTGGCTAGCTTGAATAATTTTAGCAGGCTCTGAGATCTAGACTGTCTCATTACCTGGTACCTGGCTCTAGTTTGATGAGGTCAGGTGGATAGTGACCAAGAGCCTGAGACCAATGAAGGAGGTTGTTGGGGCGTGGGCTCTGGGTTGGTTTTCATATGAAAGGCATATGTTAAGTTGTTTACTAGTGCTAGGAATTATCCAGACCTTGGAAGGGTTCTCCCTCCAGTGTGAACAAAGCTCCAGATGTGAAAGCATCAGAATAAAGACATTCTTAATACACTAGTAATAAAGAAATGGCTAAATGGGAGAAGGAAGACATACCTACTTATTTTGATCTAAGTTAAATATGCACTTGGCCACGTTCAAATCTCATTATAAATGTTTCTAGAAATTTAGAAATTGTTTCTAAAAACTCCTAATGAAGTGTCCCATGGTTTCCCATGGCGTGCATTCTCTCTTTGCTACTTTGAATAATGAACTCAACTTCTTCAACTACAAGAGTGCTTCTGGTAGTCTTTAGCTAGAGGGTATTGACATAATTTACTACTAGTCCATCTGTTTTCTAGCTTCCAAATTTTTGTTCCAAGTGTCACCTCTCTTATTCTTTGTCTTTACTAAGTGTGTACCTTTTAAAAAATACTTTCATTTTTTACTTTCATCTTAGAGGAGTTTTGGGAAGGAGTACAGCCATCCTCTTACTCAAAAGTCCTATTTCTTTAACATTTAAAAATGTGGTATGATACGTCTATATAAATTTTTACTATATTATATGTTAGTTAATGTGTAAAATGGAATTTTGCAAATAAATTTATTGTATTTTATGCAGAAAAGAAAGAAGAAGGGGTTTATACTAATGCCAGGAAGCAACTGCTCATTTCTGCTATTCCAGCTGTTCTAATTCTCCATCTTAAAAGATTCCATCAGGTAATTTTTCAGTAGCACCATTTATAGCATGTGTTTTGCAGAACTCTAAGTCCTGAGCATATTGTCAAGGATTAGTCAGGAATTTATTGAATTTAAAAATGTGTCATGTGGGATTTACTGCTACTCCAGCCATAATAGTTTACAAGACTTTTCTGATTAAAATTGTATAATTCACAATATTTGAAGACTTAGGCAGTAGGAACCTAAGTGGCATTTCTGTGTGTGTGTGTGTGTTAATGGAAAATAAGTTATTAAGAACACTTACAAGCAGTGAAGTAGCAAAGTGCACATGGCTTTTTGAGCTCTCATGATTTCACTGAGGAGAGTGCTTGGACCAGGAAGAGTTGACTGTAACTAAATGCAGAAAGGGTCAAGGCAGACTCTACAGCAGTGGCACTCTACAATGGTGGGAACCTAAATATTTTTAGTGTGCCAGATTGTTCTCAGTTATTTATAGTCTTAATTCAACACCTTGTCTCAATGGCATTTTTTTCTTGTACTTAAAAAATGATTTAAATATTTCTCTGGAAGAATGAATAAGTGAAAAATACTTAAAAATTTTTGAAAAAGATAGGAGTTATTTTTGATACCTGTTTTAAAATAAAACTATAATGCCTGAAACAGTATTGTTGGAATTGCCAAAAAAATGAAACATACATGTAATTTAAAGCCATTATGATAAAGGAAGACTCTCAAATCAATTGGACAAGGAGGCTAGATTTATTTCATAAAAGACTTAGGAATAATAGCTGTTTGAGGAAATACAAATTTATAGCTTAACTCTACATCATATTTCCATTACTATTTCAAATTTTTAATTATATAAAACAAATTTCCAAGAAGACTATGAGAAAACAATGAATATTTAGCCCAACCTCTATGTGAAAGACTTTCTAAGTATAAAATCCATGAAGGAAAACTATTGAGCTTTGATTACATATTGCAGCATTTTATGTGAGCTACAGATGTGCCAAAAGAGATTTTTCTCCAACCTCCCATCCCTATCCACAGAAAGATCAGATTAAGTTCTTGGTTTTTCTATAGCTAAGGTTAAATGGAAATGACCAAAGAGAACAGAAGCAGATATATTGTGTCTGGTCCTATCAAACAGAATGCCTAATAGAAAGGGTGTATCTGCAGTAACTGTGTGAACAAGAGAGGATCATGCCAGATTACAGAAGTTAATTTCTCAGTGTACCACAGTTATTTTATTTTTAATTTTCTTCTGACAGAGAACTTATGAACTACCACAGGTATTTTATATTGGTCTTTTCTTGCTCTCAAGCTAAATGTCAGCAAAGCTACATTCTCATTACCAGGGGTTGGGAATTGCAGGGAGCAGAATCCCTAAGCAGTGTCTGTGTTTCTAGTTTCTTGCCATCCCTGAAAGCCTTCTTTGTAGGAACTTTAGAGCTATATTTCAGAAACATTCACAGCACTCAAAGGCAAATCTCAAACTGAATAGAGATCTTTTTCATAAATATGCCAAGTTATTAACATTGTAAGTATGTAAAGAGCTCTTAAATATCAATAAAAAAGATATCAAGACCCTAGTAGTAAAATGGGTAAACAACATCAACTGACAGTTCTAGAAGAGGCACAGATTCCAAGAACATATGAAAAAAGGTCCATCCTTCCCAGTGGAATAAATGCAAAATAAAATGATGATGATGGTTATTTTTTGAGTTGGAGTCTCACTCTGTCACCTAGGCTGGAGAACAGTGGCACACTCCCGACCACCACAGCCTCGACCTGCTGGGCTCAGGTAATCCTTCCACCTCAGCCTTCCAAGTAGCTGAAACTACAGACACGCGCCACCATGCCCAGCTAGACAAGATTATTTTTTAACCTGTCCAAATTAGCAAAGTAGAGTTGAGAAGGATGAAGTGAAATACAGGCATTCTAGCCGGGCTCGGTGGCTCAGCCTGTAATCCCACGCCTTTGGGACGTTGAAGTGAGTGGATTGCCTGAGCCCGCGGGTTCGAGACCTGCCTGGGCAGCGAGACCTCATCTCTACAATAAATAAAAAAATCAGCCGGGCGTGGTAGCGCATGCCTGTAATTCTGGCTGCTTGGAAGGCTGAGGCAGAAGGATTGCCAGAGCCCAGCAGGTCGAGGCTGCGGTGGCCGGGAGTGGCCACTGCACTCCAGTCTGGGCGACAGAGTGAGACTCCAACTCAAAAAAAAAAAGAAATACAGGCATTCTAATTTACCACCAGCGGTGACTATAAACTAGCAACACCTTCTAGAAAGCAATTTAGTAATGAATATCCAGAACATTAATGTGGACGACCCCTTCAGGTCCCCTCTCCCACTGTAGGAGCTTTTCTGTCCTCTCAATAAATCCTGCTTTCTCAAAAAAAATTTAATGTTTTGAATAAACTAAGTTATTTCACCTCTAGGGGCCTGTCACAAGGAAATAGAGATCTATACAAAAATGTGTATCCCACTGGTAGATCACGCCAGATAAACGGTCTGACTTAAGTGTCTAATGGGGACAGCGGATTTATGTTTTAATGAAGAAAATACACTGTATCATTCCATTAAAAGGATAATTTTTAAAAGGGCAGTAAACTGCATATGCCCAATTAGAAGGCTAGACATTTTCCAAAACGTATCTACTAGAAAAAGATCCATCTTATGTTAAAGTCCTGTACAAAAAGTCTCTCCCGTTATGGGGTAATTTCTCAACAGCAAAGTAATGATTGGGGAGGACACATTAACCTGCAGTGATCTCAGGCAGTGCTGGTATCAGATGCTTTTAGAAGTCACCTGATGGAAAAAGAGGCAAAGAAATTGAATATAGATTAAATAATTTTACATGGGATATGACCTCATAATTTCATGTCAGATATCATATTAAGCCTCTTAAGGTCACTTGAAAAAATAAATCAGTAAGTGGGAATATTTTGGCCAAAAATAACAAGTTTTTTAGAAAGCTTTGAGGAAAGGTAAGAAATAAAAAGGCAGTAGGTCTATAGAAAATTATGATTATTATGCAAATGAAAGACCACTGAAGTCATGAAAGCACTGCATGAAAGGTTGCATCTATTAGTTTTTGTTATTCATGCAATTCAGATTAAAGTATATTCTCATTCCAACAGAGCCCGTTTCTGTTTATGGGTCTCCTACCCAATACCTTTGATAGTTTATTAGCTAGTTTCTATTACCATTACAGAATGCAAAGCATAAAAAAAAAGGGTTTTTTTTTTTTTTTGCCTTTGAAAATTAAAATTAGAAAAAAAGTAGAGCTTATTTACAAACATAAAGTACATTTGAATTTGTATAACATTTATCTTTATCAATAGTGTTTTGAGAGTTCAAGGATTTTTTTTCTTGTTAATGAAAGAATATAATTGAATTTTATAACTGAAAAGGACCTAGTCGAATCCATTTTTACCTGTTTTCTGCCTTGACCTACGTGAGGTTGCTTAGAATCAGGTTGACTGTTAATCAGTCAGTGAGCTAGGCCTAGAACACCAGGCTCCCGACTCTCTAGTTGGATACATTTTTATGACAGGATGTGTCAGTAGTTTAGTTTTTATTGCATTGAATGTATTTTTCCGTAAGTGTTGAAAAGCCACAGTGAAAGTAATTATTTCCCTTATTGTTTGTGATAAAAATTCCCATGTAAATGAGTCATCTTTGCAGTAACAATTTATGAAACCTAATTTTTAACTTAGTCATGTCAATTTTAGACTATTCATTGGTCATGTTTTCATATCTATGAAGAAACTAACTTCTGGAATTCCTCTTTTGGTTTTAGTTAAAAAACAATCCTTTAGATTTAATTAAGTTTATTGCATTAAAAAATGTTTTGGTCTTTTAAAGGCTGGCTTGAGTCTTCGTAAAGTAAACAGACATGTAGATTTTCCGCTTATGCTCGATTTAGCGCCATTCTGTTCTGCTACTTGTAAGGTACAGTATATTAAGATATTTAATTGACATAAATAATATGCTGATAAGTATCCTATTATTAAGCCATGCTTTTTTTTAAAAAAATGTGCTTCTCCTCTAAAAGGGAATTTTAATAGCTAGTGATTAAATCAGTAATGTGGAACATTTAATACATTTAATATGACTTGTCCTTCTGGAGACAGAGTGAAAGTTGAAAAAAATGATGAGATATGGGGCATGGTGGTCACGAAGATCAAATGCTACTAGAAGCTGATAGTTGCTGAGTAAAATGAGCAGGTTTCGTGCCCTTGCCTGTTCCTTGTGAATGATCTGCTTAATCAGCAGTTTACCATTTGTGAAGTTCAGTGTATCTTCTGCAAATCAGTATATTGTGAATTATCTTCCATGTTATTTCATGTGTACTACTGAGAGTAGTGTACTTGTCAGCTGAGTGTGATACTTCAAAATTGCTCATACTTTAATAATCAGACACAGAAAGCAGACTGGTTTATAATTGCTTGTATTTACATGTAAGAATTGTGTAGGTGAAATCTATGATTTCGTCTTCCTTGAGGGAAACAGTTATAGGGTAGCATATTGTCTTGTTCATGTTTACTGGCTAGAAGTCCAGGTTTTGTGATATGTTATAGCATACTAATTGCATTTAATATTTTCAGCATACTTGTCAATCAGAAACATTAAATACAATTTTCTGGAGAATCCAAATTATCTGTTGTGGAATACCAGCACTATCTGTCACTTATTAACACTCAGTAATCCTAGAATTTGATAATGTGGTAAATAATAATGACATTTAATAAGCTTTGTGCTAAATTTGTGAAAACATATATTTTTAAAGTACTATTATGGAGAATTTCCAACATTCATAAAAACTAGACAGAATAGTACAATGGTCCTCCAGCACCCAGCCCTGAAACCTTAGACTTATGGCCAGTCCTGACACATCCACACACTCATTCATTTCCTTCTTCTTTATTATTTTGAAGCAAATATCAGGTATTTCATCCATAAATATATCATTATGTATCTCTCAAAGAAAATAATTGCTCTCTCCCCTTTTTTAATATAATCACAATACCATCTAATAATTCTATCTAGTGTTCATTTTTCCAGTAATTTTTAAATGAGTTAGTAGCCAAATAAAGATTGGACATAGTGTTCATTTGTGTCATTTTTAATTTTTTTTATTTTATTTTTTTGAGTTGGAGTCTCACTCTGTCGCCCAGACTGGAGTGCAGTGGCCGCTCCTGGCCACCGCAGCCTCGACCTGCTGGGCTCCAGCGATCCTTCCGCCTCAGCCTTCCGAGTAGCTGGAACTACAGGCGTGTGCTACCACACCCAGCTGATTTTTTTATTTATTGTAGAGATGAGGTCTCGCTGCCCAGGCGGGTCTCGAACCCGCGGGCTCAGGCAATCCACTCACCTCAGCCTCCCAAAGGCGCGGGATTACAGGCTGAGCCACCGAGCCCGGCTTCATTTTTTATTTTTACATTTAAGGACTGCTTTAAAATTTTAATTTTGTTTAATAATTGTGAAAAATATTTACAAAAATCCAAACTCAAATGTACCTAAACAAGGTGCATTCAAAGATGTCTAGCTGTTCTTTATGTCTATTCTACCTGTTTCCTCCCTCCCCTTATAGACAGCCACTTAAAAAATTATGACATTCTATTATTTTTCAAAAAATATAAGCAGATAGGGATGTATATTTTCTTTTCTTTTCTTTTTTTTTTTTTTTGAGTTGGAGTCTCCCTCTGTCGCCCAGGCTGGAGTGCAGTAGCACGCTCATGGCCATTGCAACCTCAAACTGCTGGGCTCAGGTGATGCTTCCGTTTTAGCCTTCCAAGTAATTGGAACCACAGGTGCATGCCACCACGCCCAGCTAATTTTTTGATTTATTGTAGAGACAGGTCTTGCCATGTTGTCCAGGCTGGTCTCAAACACACAGGCTCAGGCAGTCCTCTTGCCTCTGTCTCCAAAGTGCTGGGATTATAGGCATGAGCCACAGCATCCAGCCTGGTATGTATATTTTCATCTTGCCTCTTAAGTAATGGTAGCTTATACTATGTATCTTTTTTTCAACTTTATTCTTAACCTTATATTCTGGAGATTATTCCACAGTAGCACTTAGAAATAATTCACAAGCCAGGCTCGGTGGCTCAGCCTGTAATCCCAGCACTTTGGAAGGCCGAGGAGAGTGGATTGCGTTAAGCCCACAGGTTTGAGACCAGCCCAAGCAATTTAGCGAGACCTTGTCTCTACAATAAATCAAAAATTAGCCAGAGTGGTAGCGCGTGCCTGTAGTTCCGGCTACTCGGAAGGCCGAGGTGGAATCATTGCCGGAGCCTAGCAGGTCAACACTGGGGTGGCCGTGAGTGTGCCACTGTACTCCAGCCTGGGAGACAGAGTGAGACTCCAACTCAAAAAAAGAAAGAAAGAATCTGCACTCCATTTCTCAAGCAGCATAATACTCTATTGTATCGCATCCGCATCATAGTTTATTCAGCCAGTTCCCATTTTTTGAACATTTTTGTTCTTTGTTGTTGTTGTTGTTGTTTTTGAGTCAGAGTGTCACTTTGTTGCCCAGGCTGGAGTACAGGGGCATGAGTGGCACTATCATAGTTACTGCAGCCTCGACCAGCTGGGCTCAGGCAGTCCTTCCACCTCAGCCTTACAAGTAGCTGGGCCTACAGGCGCACTCTACCATGTCCGGCTAATTTTTTGATTTATTGTAGAGATGGGATCTCACCATGTTTCCCATGCTGGTTTTGAACTCCTGGGCTCAGGTAATCATCTGACCTCGGCCTTCCAAAGTGTTTGCATTATAGCCACCACATGCAGTCCCTGTTCCAGTCTTTTGATATTACTGATAATCCTGTAACTAATAGTCTGGTGCATGTCTTTTTACATTTTGCTCATATACCAATGGAATAGAATCTTAGAAATAGGACTGATGAATCCAAGAGTGATACATATGCATCTCAGCTAGATAACATGAAATATTCATGCGTAGGGACTGCGCCCTTCGCTTTCCTACACTGCCCAGCCAGTAGAGAATCCTGTCAAGCTCTGCCTGCCCTAATATGTGTCAGAAGTAGTTCATTGTAGTTTTACTATGCATTTCTCTTATTTTAAGCAGGATATATATGTGCTTATTGATTCTTACCACAGTATTTCACTAAGTATTACTAATTTGGGTTTTTTCTTTGTTTAAAAGAATGTAAGCGTGGGAGAGAAAGTTCTCTATGGTCTCTATGGCATAGTGGAACATAGTGGCTCGATGCGAGGTGGTCACTACACTGCTTATGTGAAAGTGAGGACACCTTCCAGGAAACTACTGGAACACATCACTGGAAAGAAAAATGTGCCTAGTATGCCATCCTGAGTTTATTTTCTTTCTTTTTTTTTTTTTTTTTTTAGAAAGCAAGATTTATTGAGAGGACAGAAAAGCTCCCACAGTTGGGAGGGGACCTGAGAGGGTTGCCCTAGTTTATTCTTAAAAATAAATGAATTGATTCTTTTCTGGAAGAGATAAGTTATTTCACAGATATCTCAAGTGGATTCACATTGTTTTAAGTGAGAATTCCCCCTAAGAGTGCTTAGAGAATCTTAAATATCATGAAGACTGTACTCTGCTACATGATATCAAGTGGCATATGTTTTCTCAAGGTCATTGTATACTGCAGTGGAGTAGTGGTATTTTATTTAGCGATACCAAAATGTTTTGAAGATGTGCCAGGTCCTCAGAACAGAGCTGGAGGTGAAAATTGCTGGCTTTGTTTATGGGTCCTGAAAGTAACTTTGCTTTTTTGCTTTTTTTCCTTCCTCTTTTAGTAAAAACGATCTTTTCCCTGAGTGATTAAGTATTTATAAAGCTAATATTTCATTAGCTGTTGAAATTAAGTATTACAGTCTAGAGATGATTCATTATCCCTATATTAGTCATGCTTTAAAAGAATTAGTTTATTTTGGAAGATGTTTAACCCAAGAAGAAACAGACTACTTCAGGAAGATCTAGCATTAGATAAAGCTAGTTTGTAATGAATATGTTGCTGTTTATAATTTAGAGTAAGAACATAATGTCTCCTTTTTGTAAAATTGTGCTTCTTTTTGTTAGGTTTCAAAGAACCTGGTAGTGAATCGGCAGGCCAGTGGGTCCATGTTAGTGACACTTACGTGCAGGTGGTTCCGGAATCAAGAGCCCTTAGTGCCCAAGCTTACCTTCTTTTTTATGAACGAGTATTATAAGTATTCATGGTAATGATTACTTAGGTCGCTTTTATTTGAATCCTGCGATGATGACTGTAGTCTGTAACGTGCCTTCGTCGTCGCCTCTCTCCCGTAGGGTTAGCCTGTACCTCGAATGCTCCTGAACTTTGTCACCATTGTGGTAAACCCTTTTCAAGTAAATTAAATGTACTCAATGCTTTCCCATGTAAATTCTTATAAATGTAAACACTTTTTTCAAATTATTTGTCCTGGGGACAAAAAATGACCCCAGAATTTACAGTAGGAGCAGAAACCCCTTTATGATGCGGCTCATTATTATAGTCATTCAGAAATGATGCTGGCTAAGTCACATCATCTCTTGAGACAGCGTTTCCTAAATGTCACACCACCTTCTGATTTCATATGTGTTCAATGCCATTGTTTACTTATTTTTTAAGACATTTTAGCCTTTTTAAATTTTAGCTTTGTTTTGAGCAATCAAATTCTATGTTTATTGTACTTGTTATATTTTCCTAATAAACATTAAATATATAACACTTAAAGAAAAATTGTTTATCCATGCACCACTCTGCTTGCAATCATCTCAGGGTTAAGTATAGGTGTCCTACTGTGTAGGAAACACTGCTATGACATAATTTCAGGAAGTAACACCTAATATGGCATAGTTACTTAGTCGTATTTTCCATAATTCAGCCATATTGAAAGGTTTCGGTATAATTTCCATAGTGTGGGTTTACAAATAATATATTGATTAGCTTATTGCCTTGTAGTTTTGAGAAACAAATATATTGAAACCTTTCATAAACATATTTGCAGCCTATTCATGGTGGAGTCAAGGATAATTTACAAGTGGTCGGCCAAGGTCAAAATATAATTACAGATGATAACAACATGCAGAATTGGTCATTAGAAGTTGATAACTCATATGGGATATAGGATACCTTTGAAATATAAATTTATCTGATCATACTTGTAAATGATAGATAATTATATTCTTATACATAACAGAAAAATATACATTTTTTACTTCTTATTTCAGTAAATGTTAAACATGGTTTGGGGAATTTGAAATCACTACTTTTGTCTTCAACAAGCATCATTAATAAATTCATTTATTAATGAATTATTTGGCTTTTATTTTAATGGAGCATAAAGATGGCATTTCTGATTTTCTTTTAAAATAAATAAATAACAGCAACAATGTGATAGTTTTTCCCTGTAGAGTACAAATTATTAAACTGTCAAAACTGGTCATGAGAAGTGTTACTATTTCTTAGGCTTAAATTTCTGAAAATAATGGCTACTTCAGTATCATATTATTGAATCCACTCATAGCTTCATGGTTCAAGCATCTTAATCATTAGTGTTAGTGAATGATACTACTGATAAGTGTCTAGTCTCAGTTCATTCTCCTGTTGACAAGAGAGGATAAGAATAGTAGCTGTAGACCAGGCATGGTGGCTCACACCTGTAATCTTGACATTTTGAGAGGACAAGGTGGGAAGAGCACTTGAGCTCAGCAGTTTGAGACCAGCCTGGGAAACATAGTAAGACCTCGTCTCTATTACAAATAATAATTTTAAAATAAATAAATAAAATGTTTAAGAATAGTGGCTGTAAATAATATGTGGAAATATTTAACCAAGACTTTTTAACATATAAGTGTATATAACATTATCAAGGCTATCAGTGCTACCTTTTGATACATGAATGAATATAATTGTGATTGATGCGAGAGATGGTAATAGTATACAAAATGCAATGCTTAAAAATGTCATCGCATAAATTTCACTTTTAAGCTGTTGAAATTTTAATGGTGTTTTTCTTGGTTTTTAACAGAAATAATGGGGATATAGATGAGTTAATCTGCACAGTCGTGTCTGTAAGAGATAGTTTACTGTATTTTCTGTGTAATTGCAATCTATTAATGTTGAAGATTTCACTACCAGAGCAGTGAATTTTTTGAAAAAATACTAAATTTTTTTATTCAAGACAGCAATGTTGGTAAAATCAATTGCCATTCTTCCCCTAACTAAGTGTAAATTCATTTTTATTTTATGAAGATAGTGTTAAGAGTCATGTACTTCTCATTGGTCAATCACTTGTTTCTTGTTTCAAAATAGATATTTGAATATATACCCTTATCTGCTATGGGTCAATCACTGTGCTGATACTATTTTAACACCTTTTAAAATGGAAACACCTATATAGATATTAGACATTATTCCAGAACTAACATACAAATAAGATTTATTTTCTTAGTGTTCAATGAGCTAATTTTAAAGTCTATTTTTTTTATGGCCTCGAGTTTATAAGTGCTCTTTCCTTGTTTTCTGAAAATGGAATAAATTTGACTTTGAAATCTAAGAATTTCCTCAAGATAGCTTTTGTAATAGAGAAAGCTTGTTAAATTCTACATTTAATTTTTTTTTTTTTTAAGTCCAAGTCTCTCTCTGTCATCCAGGCTGGAGTGCAGTGGCATGATCATGGCCACCACAGCTTTGACCTGCTAGGTTCAGGCGATCCTTCTGCCTCAGCCTTCCAGGTATCTGAAACCACAGGCACATGCCACCACACCAACTGATTTTTTAATTTATTGTAAAGGCAAGGTCTTGCCAACTTGCTCAGGCTGGTCTCAAACTCTGGACTCAGGCAATCCTCTTACCTCCACCTCCCAAAGTGCTGGGATTACAGGCATGAGCCACCGTGCCCATTTTGCAGGGATTATTAAATTGTGAGGCTACTATAACAACAATAGTTTCCAGATCACCTCAGGAAACAGTACAAATAAATAAGAATGTTTACAGACATCAACACAACTACCATAGTGTTTGAATGAATGAATTTTAAAAAGTGAAACAAGTTCCATTAGCTTTATTTAGAAACTGGTTTACAGGGTATGCTCAACCCCAGATCCCCCTAGTTTTTCCATATTTAAAGTGATAAAATTTCAATTGTGTGCCAATATTTTGTCATTTAATGTTTCTAAAAGTAGTGAAGATCACCTTTTTAGGTGGCCAAGGAGAGTGACAGTTGATACCTGTTCTCTTATTTTAAATGTACCAACAGAACTCTTATAGTATATTTCATAACTCTTAGTTTGCATGTGTGATGATTTTAGTCAGTGATTTTATGCAATAGCTGAATGAAATTTCTTAACGATTAAGCTGTGAAATGTATCAACCCTCATCTATTTTTTAGTACAAAATAACATCCTGCCTACTTTTAAAAAATCTGTATTTGTAATTTATTTTTCTGCATGATATTTGATCAAATAAGCCTAAACCAAATATGTGCAATAAAAATGAGCCTTCAGATAGTATATAGTGCATTGTTAAGAAATATTATTTCTAGATATTTAAAATGTTTTTGCTCATGTAGAAATCAACAATTTAAATCTGTTTAAACGATAGATGACTATATTTTCAATTTAATAAATTGAATAAATTCATAATGTCATTTCTACTGTCTTTACTTTTTTTCAGTGTTTTTAGAAAATAGCTGTGTAACTTATTGAGCATTATTTTGAAGTTACTGTATAAACATTCATAATAAATATTAAATTCTTATTTATCTCATGTTACAAGATTGGTCGTGACATTTTTGCAGTACACATTGTTGACAGAATGTTTTATATAGCAACACTGCATTTGCTTATGTCTTAGTCCACTCGAGCTGCTATAACAAAATGCCATAGATTGAGTGGCTTATTAACAGAAATGTATTTTTCAGTTCCAGAGACTGAGAAATTGAAGATCAAGGTGCCAGTAGATTCTGTGTCTGGTGAGGGCCGTCTTCTGGCTCATAAAGAAAGCACCTTCTTGCTGTGTCCTCACATACTAGAAGGGACAAGGAGTCTCTCTGGGGCTTCTTTATGAAGGCACTAATCCCATTCCTGAGGGCTCCATCCTCATGACCTAGTCACTTCCCAAAGGCCTCACCTCCAAATTCCCTCACATTGCATATTTGTGAATTTTGGGAACACATAAACATTGTCCATAGCAACTTATCAACTAAATTCAAACTATCCTTCATATTTTAGAAATTCACTGTTTCAAAACAGTACTTTATGGGCCACTTTGACTCAGATTTCAGCATCTACCAAGGGCGAATCTTTTTCCATCCATGTTTCTCAAAATGTTGGAGTTATTTCGATGGGATAACTCATTAGGAAATATTTTGTCCACCTGTGTGTCTAAGCTTTTTTGGGTGGTCATGAAGCTCTTTGAGATTATGATGAACATTACAGTCCATCTTTTATTTGTTTTATCATTTAATAAGTATGCATCGAATAGCTGCTATACTAGGGATACAGCAGTGAACATAAGAGACAAATCTCTCTAAGAAGTGAGGAAATAGACACTCTAAGAAATGTAAGGAGTAAAAAGCTGGGTGCATTGACTCACGCCTGTAATCCCAGCACTTTGGGAGGCTAAGGTGAGAGGATTGAGCACAGGGGTTTAAGCCTGGGAAACTTGGCAAGATCTCATCTCTACAATAAATAAAAAAAAATTAGCTGGGTGCGGTGGTGTGCACCTGTAGTTGCAGCTACTTGTAAGGCTGAGGCGGAAGGATTGCCTGAGCCCAGCAGGTAGAGGTTGCGGTGGCCATGAGCATGCCACTGCACTCCAACCTGGGCAACAGATTGAGACTTCGACTCAAAAAAACAAACAAAAAAAAGGAGTAAGGAAAAGTTATGTCAAATGATAACAGTATGGAGTAAAATCTGCCTATGGAATCATATGGAAATTAAAGTCCAGGGGTTGAAGACGTCCTAGGAGTAAAAAGCATGGTGATACTAGCCCTGATAGTCTCAAAGAGAAAGCTGAGTGTTAGGGGAAGAGTGGTGTTTTAATACTGGGAACCTCTTTTCTGGCAAGATAGCGATGGGGAAGGGAAACCTGACATCTGTATGTTCCCAGAACAATGTGTCTCCCAAATTTTTGTGTGTAATTTCAGAGGTTCATAGACACCCCTGAAGCCACTTCATATTTTAAACTGCACCCAAGCAGAAATTTCCAAAATGTTTGCATTCTCATATGTATTAGGATAGGCTGCATTACATGACAGTAACAACCCCAAATCCCAGTGACTAAACACAACAAAAGTTATTTCTTGCTCACCCAAAGTTCACTGTGAGTCTGCAAAGGCAACTGATCTCCAGCTGGTCATTCTGTGACGCAGGCTCGTTCAGTCTGTGGCTCTCCCATCCCAACAGCCAGTCTCCTAGCTGTGGTAGGTGAATACAGCATTAAGGGGTCTTGCACCAGCAATTAGCCTCTTCATCTTGGATGTGTGACAACCTGTTGGCCAGCAGTAGTAACATGACCCTACCTGACTGTCAGGCAGGATGGATAGGAAAAAGCAAGCCTCCCATGGGCAGAAGAAAAGGAGAATGGAACATGTGACTTTACTAGAAGTCTCTATCACAGTCTGCCTCTCTGATCACCAAATACTCAGCTCACTCTTTTGAACAGTGGCTCTCTCTTCAAAGGACACAGCCCAAAAGTCCCATCCAGGTAAAGTTTTGTCCTCCATGACTTGGCTCTCCAGAAGTGCCATGTCAGGTTGAGATATCACTCCCAGTGTTCTGGAGACCCAGGAACATACTTAATGCACAGTAGTGAAACCATGCCGCAGCAAACATTCCCATTCAGAAGGGAGAATAAGAACGAGAGATGCTGTCAGGTCCCTTATCCTGGGTATGGGGTATGTTTATGATTATGCTTCTTTAGGAAGAAGTCCCTTGGTTGTCGTCCTCTGTGACCAAGACTACATCCTCTGGATTTTCTTTTTTTTTTTAGTTGGAGTCTCACTCCATCACCCAGGTTGGGGTGCAGTGGCATACTCACAGCCACCCCAGTGT